AAACGGTAACTGTAACGGAATACAGTTACTCATATTTTGTATTTTAAATACGTAACGGCGGTACATGTATTCCGTTACTCCCCAACACTGTATATAAAGTATATAAATTCAAGAACTGTAGCAAGGACCTAATATAAACTTATTTCCCACTTTATCAGGTACACCTGTTCAACTTCTTGATAATGAAAATATCTAATGAGCCAATCACATGGCAGCAACTGAGCAATTCAGGACAGGGGATGAAATGTGATTTAAGTGACATTAAGTGTAGGCGGTCGGAGTATTTCAACAATGGCTGATCCACTGGATTTTCACACACAACCAGCTTTAGGGATTACAGAAAACGGACCAGATAGAGAAACTCTACAGTGAGCGGCAGCTGTCTTGGTGGAAACACCTTGCTGATGTCAGAAGTCAGAGGAAAATAGCCAGACAGCATTTACCCGAATAACCAGTTACAAGCAAGATATGCAGAAGAGCATCTCTGAATACACGACAGCCTCGATACCGATGGCTTTCAGCAGGAGAAGACCACGACAGGTGCCACTGATGTGGGCTAAACAAAGGTAACTGAGGCTACAGTTCACACAGGCTCACCAAAATTGGTCAGTAGAAGACTGGGAAATGCTGCTTCATATGAGGAGTCTGGATTTATGCTGCAACATCTGGATGGTAGGGTAAAAACTTGGCATAACCAGCATGAAAACTTAAATCCATCCTGCCTTTTATCAGTAGTCCATGCTGGTGATGGTGTAAGGGTTTGTGGGATACTTGCTGCATGTACCTCCCTTTGAGCCTCTTAGTACCGACTGAGCATCGTTGAAACTCTACAGCCTGCCTGAATGTTGTTGCTGACACTGTCCGTTCCTTCAAAATCACAGTGTGCCCATCTTTTCCAACAAGATGTAATGCACCATGTCACAAAGCAAAGTAATCTCACACTGGTTTCTTGAACAGCACAACGAGTTCACTGTATTTCAGTGGCCTCCAGAGTAATGGGACCTCAGTCCAATAGTGCACCTTTGGGATGTGGTGGAACGGGAGATTCTCATTATTATCATACAGCCACAAATCTGCAGCAACTGTATTATGCAATAATAAAAACGTGGACTAAAATATCTCAGCAATGTTTCCAGCACCTTTGTGAATCTATGTCATTAAATTTTAAAGTAGTTCTGAAAGCTAGCAGGCTGTGCCTAATAAAGTGTCTGTTGTGTGTAATGTTGTTGAATACGAATATATTTAAAAAGTAGATCAAAAAAATGTATTTCAACACACATAAAGTTGTTCAGACTTCTGGTTTCTTCTCTTGAGTGTGTGCTTTCCCTCTCGCTCTCTACCACAGAGAGCTAATTACTGTAAACTCAGCTTTTTTATTTTTGTTTTTGCTTTTTTTTTTGGTCAAAAGATGCTTTGATACATTTTCTCTGCTCATCACAGAGGAAAGAAAAACCCGGGCTTTATGGTTTGATGTTCTGCTTGCTTGTCTTGTTTGCCTATATGTTCCACTTCTGTGCGGTGTGTGGGCCAGACCATCAGGTCAGCTGCAGACACTTTGGCCCAGTGTTTCATCCATAAAACTAAACCTTCGGGGGCCCTTGTTCCATATGCATCTTTGCTTCGTGCCACTCAACATTCCCACCAGCGTACTGTTCACTAATCCACTCACACATTCTCTGATGAAACTGACTTCCAGAGCTTACGGTCGTCTTTGTGTTGGTATTTTTATGTTAATTTCATGTTTTTTGTTAAAATAAATTAGTATTTACTGCCCTTCACCCTGTGTCTCTGTCTCTTGTCATGGCTTCTGAGCTGAGGTCTTGGCAATTTGCATATATTAAGAACATTATTATCCATATTAATCACATTATAATAGTGGGTTACCAAACAACGGGCTTTGCCTAGTGCTACTCTGTCACCATGTCCACTCCAAGTAAAAAAAAAAAAAAGAAGCTAATCCTGTCGTAATGTAACTGTCAGTTCTTCCATGAAATGAATCAGAAGTGCTGCAATTTTTAGTCATAGTGGTTGTGAGGATGGACATGGTTCTGTGTTAGTGGGATTTTGTAGACCACAGCGAGTGTTCTGCCGTGTGTCTGAAATCAGACTGGAGTGCTTGTTGTGGCACTGGGATGTAATAAATCCATGACCTTGGTCTGGAAGGTTTAAGGTGTTCCGTGGCAGGATAAACCAGACCTCTTGGTGCCTTGTTAAGGTGGCATGACTCACCTGCTTGTGGTGATGGTCGTAGGAGTTGATGTGGTTGTCAAACTGTTGGTGTCTCAGATACTGCTTATCGCAGAGCTCACAGTAAAACCTCGAGTCCCCCTCCTCCTACCGAGAGAAAAAGGCGAGAAGGAAATCAGACGAGGAGAAAGGAGTGAAAGTCTTAATATGAAAATATAATTTCTTATATTGTGTCCTTGTGGTGACCTTGGGAGTTATTGCTCCATTAACAAGACATATGGCTCTTTATTCTCAGTTTATGATGATTTTTTACTAGAAAAATATTCATTTTTTAAATGGTACTTTTTGAAGCATGAATCATGTTATTTTCTTTATTTCATGTGCAAAAGGATTCTGGTTAGTGAAAAGGGAGTACAGTGTGGGAAAAAAGGAGGAAAAACAAAGATGAAGATGTATCACACAAAGTTTCTTTCTGGATTAATTTTCAGCAAACTATCACAGTTTTATCTCTTTAAAGGTTTGGCTATAGCTTCCTCCTATACACACTTTTTCCTTTGGACTTTAGACTTAAATCGTTCTTTTTTTAATAAAGCTTGTAATTAGAGCCAAATCAAACTCAGACTTTCTGTGATATACAGACCATTTCTTTTCTACCCTCCTCTATTTACTTCCTAGGCATTTGTACACTATCTCTGCATGTCATAAATGTGTCTTCTCTGTCCCAGGCCAGTGTGTGCTCTGTTTCCCTGTGCCTTTTTCTTTCTTCTCACCCCCGAGCAGGTCAGGACAGATGTTTGCCCTGCTTGTTCTGCAGAGGTTTCGTTCTGTTAAAGGGGAGTTTTCCTCTCCCTCTGTGTAGTACTTGGTCACTGGGAGGCATCTAATTGAAAACCTACTGAGTTTCCATACTGGTTGTCTGTTTCTCTGTGTTGGCCTTGTAACAGGCTGGTGTCCTGTGCAGGGTGTACCCTGTCTCTCGCCCTATCATTGTCATGGCGAGTGAGAAGAGCCGTGTGGAAAAGGAAAAAGAGGATCCAAACGCAGGCAGTCGTGAAGGTG